TGCACTTTTTTTTTTTTTTTTTTTATTATTACCGAACATATTTTATAATATTTCGATGTAATGCATATTTAATTTTTATGATGCAGTTAATTTAATAATTTTTTATCGGTAAAGAATCGTGCTGAACGTGCAACTGATATTTTTTTTATTAGTAAATAAAATAATATAAAAAAATTAAAAAAATGACAATTTTTGTAAATTTTATTATACTATCAATGATATCTATTATTACACTGAAAAATAAATTTTGAATTATTTTATTACAAGCTTTAAAAAATATTGTCATTTAGATAGACATGTTACTAAATTATAAGACTAATTTAAAGTATATAAAAAATAAAATCAATATTTAAAATAACTTTTGAATAAATAAAAACGAGAACGTTCAGCGCGATGAGCACTTGTATGATTTTATAAGGATGAGATTAAATAAATATATAAAATTATAATTAATAAAATAAAAATAACAGCAATAATGCTGTTGATAGAGCGCATAATGCAGATAGCTAATTGCATGCGTTGATAGGAACAAAATAATTACTAAATAATATTATAAACGATTTGATGGTCTTACAGTAAGTATTTATAACTTAAAATTTATCAATTATCATTTAGTAACATAATAATACTACAAAATAATTAAGATTAATATTTAATCGGTGTGATAATTCAAAAAAGCCAAAAATTGTAATTAAAAATAATATTGTAAGACCAACATCGTTGAGACGGCACATGAAAAATAAAAACATTCAAGTTATGGGCTATAAAAATGATCCATAACCGAAATGATTAATATTTAATAAATATAAATATATTTAAATGATTGCAAGTAATTTTTATTATGATTATAAATTAATATCAAATTTTTATGATAAAGAGATGAATACAGACAAGCAAGGCTTCGCTCATTACATCCGAGGCCGAGGGAGACAAATAGGGTACCAATAATATAAGAAAGTGGGAGGCTTTTGTTAATAATTAATTAATAGTTAATTTAATCGCTTATATAGCTTTTGTTTAAATTCATTAGGATTTGTTTGTTAGACAGAACTTACTTATGTTAGTAAGTAAAATTAGGGTTGGGGGCCTAGGACAGGTCGTCGCCGCCCCGCGGATACGACAGTCATCGAGCCACGTACTGTCCCCCCATCATATCTACGGGCAACAACAAGTATTTGGTTTAGTTTGTGCAGAAACTAAGCGATAACGTACATTAAACAGCGTTAGCACTTTCATTTCTGATGAGTTCTGCACTATTTTTATTATTTTTATTACTACCATCATTATTATTTTATTTTTATTATTATTGCCATTTAAATAGCCAAAGACTTGAAAAAAAAAAAAAATAAAATAAATAAATAAAAAAAATAAAAAAAATAAAAAAAATAAAAAAAAAAAATAAAAACAACTTAATAATTTATTAATTAAAATTGAAAAATTATTTTTATTAAACGTATACAATTATATTTAATTCCTAATTATTTTATAAAAATATTTTCATTATTTAAACAATGATAAATAAAATATTATTCCGGCTGCATTGTTAAAATAATTGCTCAACCTTCTGATAATTATTATTATAATAATAAAAAGGACCGTAAATATAAATTGTTGTTGTAGTTGTTGTTGTTGTTGTTGTTGTCGTTGTTGTTTATTAAGAAGAAAATTTTCTTAAACCGACTAAACAAAGCACTAAAAGTTGTTTCTTACTTTCTGCACAAATCAAAACTCCTATAATTCTGAAAACTCTGAACACGCTGTAAGCAGCTAGTTGGTCATCGATCGTCTCTCGAGGCTGATCCTAAAATTAATAGGAGCCTTTGTCAGAATAATTTTATTTAATAATAAACCGTTTAATATTTATCGAATTCATCTATAATCTTGTTAGGACATCATCATCATCATCATCATCACCATCTTTATCTTCTACACTAAAGTCTAAATAATTAAAGTGTTATTCATGAATTCACGTCAATTGTAAAAATTAATTGTTAATATACACTATTACAATTTGTAAAACAATAAAAAAAAAAAAAAACAAATAATTTTAATATTATTAATAGTAATAATAATAATAATTAGTAGGATTGTCTTGGCGATAAATGAATTATCAAGGAATTGATAAAAACAAATTCGTAAGGCTAATTTGATGGTCGAGCTTTTATATATATAAGCAGCATAAAATCCCCCTTAAATCTATCATGATATTATAGTAATAATAAATATTAATAATAATAAAAATAAAAAAAATAATAATTATCATCAAATTTTATAATTTATAAATTGAATATTTAAAATGGCAGTCTTTGGCTGTGAATAGTGTACGCAACGCTTTAGCCATTATTTAATATAAATATAAATATAAATATTAATTTATTTTTTAAAAATGATTAATTAAGAAATACTCACCACTGTCTTGGCTCATGGACACAACTGCTGGACTAGTATTAGCACTATTGGCAGCAGCAATATTGGTGTTGGTCCCCTCGTCAGCTGTACGCTTGAAAAAGTTGTGCTGCAACGCGTAATAAGGCGTGACACGTGTTTTAGGATCAAAGTCGAGCATTCGTAAAATGAGATCCTTGAATTTGAGGTAGTCGGAGATTGAATGACCAGGTTCACCTAATCTTCTACCACCGGGACCACCGTTTTCAACACCAAGTATATCGTGTAATCGTCTTGTACCCGGAAGTTTGTACTTTTTACCGTCTTTCGACTTCTTCAACACGTAAGAACCATCCGTAGGGACTTTGTCAAAGTACTTCCGCGCTTTGTGCGCTTGGTCCAGTATATGCTTTGGTGGCATACCTAACACCTCCACTATTTTGTTCATTTGATCAACCTGTAATAAATATATGGTATAATTTAGATAATTATTTAAAAGGGTGAATATATTTAAAAAAAATACAAAATTACGTCTAAATTTCCCGTGTAAAAAAAAATCGTCTTAAAAGTGTCTTAAAATTGTCGTTTATTTAAGACTTTTTTAAGACACCAAAAAAAAAAAAAAATTTCAAAAGCAGATTTTTGAAATTTGTTATGAAAATTTATTTTTAGACATTTTTTAAACGATTTTGCGAGTTTTTAACCACAACATTTTTTAATACGCTCTTTTCAAATTGAATTTGAAATTATTCAACGAAAATAGTGTTGAAAAATTATTATCCAACAATTTTAAGATTTTTTTAAGACGCTTTATCTTAATGTTCCAAGGTTTTGTCGCTGTGAACTCATCTTAAAATAATCTCTAAATTTTTTTAAAATTTTTTTTAAAGAAACTTGCAAAATCATCTAAAAATTAATTTTCATAAAAAATTCAAAAACTAAATTTCAAAAATCTGCTCTTGGATTTTTTTTTTCTTTGGCGTCTTAAAAGAGTCTTGCTTTGTGTTACGTTTAAGATCTTAAACAAGCGACAATTTTAAGACACTTTTGAGATGATTTTTTTTTACACGAATTTAGTAACTAAATTTTTTGTTAGTGTTTATTTTTAGAGCAAACTCTCTTAAATACTCAATTAAATAATTTGAAATTATTTTAAATGATTTATTTTTTCAATTAATACTTTTTTTTCTTTAACAAAAAAAAAAATATTAAACTAATTTACGAGACAATTAAAACTTAAGTTTAAATGACCGTTTTTTATTTGTCAATGTTTCTATAAAAAAAAAAAAAAAAAAAATAAAAATAATCAAGGACTTCCGAATAACTAGATATAACTTTATTTCTTGTTTCTTGTGATAGATAATTGTAATAATAATAATGAGAATATGTCTTTAAAATAACAAGACAGTTGACTTAAAATCTCGAATAAAGATTGTCATGAATAAAATGAATCTTAAGTTACGTTATGGAGCATAAAATTTTCGAGTTAAGTTGTACAACTGCTGTACGTCAAGTTGAGTAATCAAATGACGTTTCTTACGAACAAGGATCTAGTGACTCAAGAAGTTTGTGGAAATAATATTATGTAGTTGATGATTATACAAAGTTATTACCTCGTTGGCGCCACTGAACAAAGGTTCGCCTGTATGCATTTCTACTAGAATACAACCAAGACTCCACATGTCTATCGCGAGGTCATATGGGATTCCAAGTAAAACTTCTGGCGACCGATAAAACCTCGATTGAATATATTGGTATATCTGTAAACACATAAAACAATTAATACATCAATTATTTGATTTTTTTTTACTCAATCATTGTCAATCAGATGATTGGCATTTTTCAATTAAGTTGTAATAACTATCATTAATTGAATAAAAAAAAATAATAATAGTAATTATTAATATTATCATAAATTACCCGCTGTCCAAGCTGACACGAACTACCAAAGTCGACAATCTTTATCGCACTACGCTTAGGATTGCACAAAAGAATATTTTCGGGTTTCAGATCACAGTGAATGATATTCAATTCCGGTGTGGACAGGAACAAGAGGGCAGTACACAGTTGCTGAGCAAACTTCCTCGTTAAATTTAAGGATACTCCGCGGAAATTCGTATTTCTAAGTAGGTCATAAAGATTATAAGATAACAGCTCGAATACCAGACACAAATGATTTCGCCACATAAAGTGCCTCTTCAGTTTAACTAAAAAGAGAAAAAAAAAAAAAACAAAATTATTGTTACATAATATGTAATCAAATTCAATTATTTATTAATTTAATAAAATCAATAAATTCTTACCTATATAATACTTGTTATCGGTATCCGCTCTATTCATCATTTCTAATAACCTAACTTCGATTTGCGCTTGATTTAAAAATGGTTTTTTATTCTTAATTATCTTTATTGCCACTTGGGTTTGTTCCTCATGGTCAAATGCTTTCACTACTTGGCCAAAGCTACCTTTACCTGAAATAATAAAATTTATAAAATTAGTCAAGTAATATCATCTATATTATTAAGAGAATAAGAAAAATTTTGTGGCCAGTGTATTTATGTGATAAAATGGGTTTATATGATTAAATTTGGTATCATTAGAAAGGTCTTGACCTGGAGTTGTAAAGTTGAAACCTTTTTAAGATTTCATATCATTCTCATCAATAGGCAATTTATATGATAAGTATTTAGACTGCATTTGAAAATGCTCTATCTCTGGATACATATTAAGAAATAACTTTGTATCTTGTGAACTATTGACATTTTTAAATATATAAGCTCACCTCGACATAACACTCATTAAGACCTTTCATTTGAGTACCCACATCAATTTTTCATATATTTTATATATATTTATATATATGTGTATATGAAAAATATATCAAAATGCATGTGGGTACTCAAATGAAAGCTCTTGATGAGCGTAACATCGGGATGAGCTTCTATCTCTAAAAACTTCAATAGTTAAGAAAGTATAGAGCAATTTAACAAAAATAATTAAGAAATGATCTAGTATGTTGTAAACTATTGACATTTTTAAAGATATAAGCTCATCCTAATGTTACACTCATCAGGACCTTTCATTTGAGTACCCACATCAATTTTTCATATATTTATATATATTATATATATGTATATATGAAAAATATATCAAAAATGCATGTGGGTACTCAAATGAAAGCTCTTGATGAGTGTAACATCGGGGTGAGCTTATATCTTTAAAAACGTCAATAGTTAAAAAAGTACAGTGCAATTTAACAAGAGTCATTATTTAATAAAGCAAAATTTTATTTATTTATAGTTCACAAGTCACGGCAGTCACATAGTGACTGCAAGGTTGCTAGTTAAAATAGTTTATAATTATTAAAATAAAAAAAAACTTTACCTATTAACGAATCAATTTCATATCGATCTAAGAATTTTTCACCATTCTTAATAATATAATCATGATTATCATCATCCCAACCGTCGTTGTACAGCTTTCTTTCCTTTTTATGAGAGCCATCTTCACCTTGCATTTGCTGCGCTCTTCTCTTTTTCTTCGCATAATAAACCTGAAAAATAACAAACAAATGATTAGAAAAAATAATTAACAATTTTTTCAAATTTTTAATATTATTTCATATCATAAAAAAATTTTTTTACTTTAAAGTAAATTTATATACGGCTCATATAATTCAGTATCGCAAAATTGCAATAATAATAATATTATCAATTGATAGTGCGTGAATTTATTAATAAAAAAACTTGTAAAAGATAAATACTTAAAAATACTCAAGTCAACATAGCTTCTAAGTGTTCCCAAGTGTTTTTATTCTTATCCCAACATAATCCCAGACTCTTACCCTTTTTGTTTCACTCCTTCTATTACCTCACAGAAAAAAAGAATGAAAAAAAATAAAGAAAAATAAAATAACCAAAAGGGAGTATGTAAAAAATAAAACAACAGTGCAAGAGCTAGCGGGTAGAGTTAAGTACCATTACAACCCACAGTTAGAAGTGATCATTATTACAAAACCCCAAGCTCGGTAGTACATAAGGTGAATCGCAGTTAGATCCCTTTTAACTTCAAAATTACCCGCGCTTTTCTTCATCTATGTACATAAGTACCATGTGATTCGATAAATATAACGATGTAAGTCATCATCTTGTCCATTATATATATGAGTCCGTACATCTTCATAATTTTCATTTTCTTCCTCCTCCAACTCTTCATGTTTATAGACTCCTATCCCTCGGCACTTTATTCCAGTACATATTCAAATGTTTTTCATCCCCATTATCATAACAACTATTGTGTTATATTATTACATTGCAAGTGAAGCCAGCGCAACAGAATTAACCAATGAACCATCCGCCAACAAGCATACAAGCGAGTAAGAGACAAACGGTGAATTATAAAGCGCAGAATCCAATACGCCGGCACCGCGCGCAATCGATATCAATGCGACCACGTGAAAATCATGCTGGTTTAATAGAAAAATATTATTTCCAACTAAACTAAATTAATACTCCAAGAAAAGCTGAGACCAAAAATCTCAATTTTAATCAAATTTAAGAAATCGATACTTTTGCTTGTAATTAATCTTACAAAAAAAAAAGTTAATAACAATAATAATTTATTAATTCGCGGCGTTATTAAAGCGGAGGAAAATCTTGGATGAGTTTCAGAGACTAGACCCAGGAAAGCATGAAAAGCCTCTGCCCCTGCCTCTCAGTTTCAGTCTCGTCGCGTCTCGAATGAGGTATTACCCACCGGTAGTCCATCGGTCAATGACCTCATCGTTTTAACTACCATCTAGACTAATCAACATATCAACAACTAAACATTTATAAATAATTATTTTTATATTTGTCCCTTTTTTTCTATTATTATATCAATCACTTGGACTTTTACTAGACTAAATACTACCAGATATAAATAGCAGTATAAAATAATCTATGCAAATAACGCCGAAAATAATTCAAATTTTGCACAGAAAGAAAAATTTCTGGAGAACAAAATTTTTGGCTCAAGAAAATTTTCGGGTGCCTGGAGGAAGACCAAAATTGTGTTGGCCGAAGTAAAAAATTTTTCTTGAAATTCTATTCTTGGTGAAAGTAATTTTTTTTTAATTCAAATTATCATAAATACTTGATACAATAAATTTTATGACACTGAAGTTAGCAGACGTCAAAAATTTTTTGATTTTTTTTATTAATTAAATTACAACTAAAAAGACATTTCTAAAAAATTGCAGCCATAGTTTTTCAAGTTTTTTACATGTGAAATTTTTTTTTTTTAATTGTTTAATTGAAATTTTTTCAATAAAAAATTTCTAAAAATTCTGAAATGTCGGCTAACTTCATTTTCATTAAATTTTTATATTTGATCAGGATTTTTAGATACTTTGGGGAAGCAGCGCCACCTACTTCAGTTGAGAAAAAAATTTTCTCACCTCGAGAAAATTTTTCTCTTGAATATTTGATACCCATTTTATATTATTTTAGCGTGCAATTATACAAACTGAATGAAAAAAAATGATGAAATATTATTTGATCTTCTCATTTGACATGTTAATCAATAAAAATATTAATGAAAATTTATACTTCTATCTTTATATTTAATTTTTTGAAGCGAAAGGCTGAATTTTCTCAAAACAACAAGATTTTCTTGACTTAAATAAATTTACTTGGATCAAAATACGTATTTCTTAAAGCAAAAAAATTAATTTTGTTGGTATAAGTGAAATTTCTTTTAAAAAAAAAATTTGTTTCTTAAAAAAATAATTAGGAAAAAAACTATTTTCTTGGCTCAAGTGAACCTTTTTTTCTGTGTAGCAATGACGATATCAACTCCAACTGGAAGTTTATAATTTTATTATAATAATATATACTTATATTATAATTCGGCATTTAAACTGACATTATGACTTTAAGGACTTAACGATTGGTACAGAGGACATAGAACATATGTGTCTAGATATAGCAGTAGTATATGAATGGCGTTTGATTGTGATATTGGTATGGCATCGAAAATCACGAACTCGGCGTTAGGCGCGACCTACCCCAAACCCGGTGCGCTTTACGTGACCTCTTTGGCCTGGTTCAACAACGTCGATGCACGCTCGATTCAGGTCGTCGTTGTCGTTGTTAAATATATAGATGTTGATATACAACGACATGTAGTATCTAAGAGTAATATATAATATATATATATAGACCAGGAGAGATCTATGCTAATGAGAATTACCGTTCAGAGGATGTATTGAGATTCGAATTGAAAGGAGTGCGTTTGACTGGACGTCACCAGCCAGCATTGGGTAGGGGGTTAAATAATCTTTTCCTTTAACTTAACGTTGACTTTGATTGATAAGCCAGAAGGATTTTCGGTAGATTAAAGGACCTTCGAATAGTAAGAACAACCGGAGGAACAGAATAGAATAAGGACCGAAGAGCAAAGACCAAGGGAGTAGAGTAGAGGCTAGACATCTTTTACCTCCAAGGAGATTTTTTGTTTAGATTGGGAGTACAAGGTGGCACCATCTCGTTTTCTTTCTCAGATTTTCTTTACTTTGGTTTAGGTCTTTTGGTAATATTATTGTCTCTGTCTAATAACTTGTGTCTCTTTATTTTTTAAAAAATTTTCCTCTTTCTATGTCTTGCTGCTATCCTGTAGAGGTGGAGTAGAGGGTTCTTGGCGACGTCGCGCGCCGACTCCCTATCCCCCTTATCACTGAGGAAAGGGTAACTACCGTCGTCTCTTTGCTCTTCGCGTCTCGTCTGGTCTGGTCGTGGCTCCTCTACTCTACTGTACTCTCTATACTACTCTGGTTCTGGCTCTGGCTCTGGCTCTGGCTCTGACTCTGCTTATACTTCTCTGCATTACTCTGCTCTCTTCTTATCACTGTTTCTTTTTCTCAGTCACACCCACGAGTCGGCTTCTTATGCATACTCTCTTCAACACGTTGCTGCCTCCGGTCGTCTGCACAACAGCACACCAACCCAGCATTGGCTAGACCCTAGTATAGTCCTTGTCTCACTCCCGCGTTTCTGTTGCTATGCGCGAGTGCATGAGACCGGCCCCATATGCTGCATTCGTTGTTATACCAAGCTCAAGCGACACTAGACCACTCACTCTTTACAGCTATTTATAAATATATCAATAGATAATACATATTTATACATCTTCTTCTATCAATTTATGCTTTTTGTTACCCCTTTTCTTTCTGCTAATCTATTTATAAAAAAATTATTACCCGCCCAATCCAGATGGAAATATTTTGACGTTTAATACGGAGAAAAAAAAATTTACTTAAATCAAGTAAATAAATTTGAAGAATTTCATGTTCTTGATTTGAGGAAAAAATTCTTAAACTTAGATATTTTTATTGGTATAAATAAATTTTATTTCATTCAAGAATTTTTCTTTTGATTCAAGTTGATTTTTTTTTTGTGTAATTTTGAAACAAACAATAAATTTTAGTTTAAAAAAGAAAAAAATGCGATTATAAATAACAAATCAAACTATAAAGTTAAAAATAATTTTTAATAAGTTTAAAATTCATTAGATTGTAAAAAAAAGCACGGGTGTGCTTGATATTCATTATTGTAAATATTTTGTTATTAGATATTTAAAAAAAAATTATTACAAAAATATCTTTAAATGCACTCCACGATTTTTTTTAAATTATAATTTATTTTTAAATTTTTTAAGGTGTAATTAAAAACTACAAGCGTTAAATTGGAATATTTTATGTATATAATTGAAAGAAGCACAGCAAATGTTTAATCTGTTAAATTAATAATTTTTTTTTTATTATGATGATCCTAGTCAGAGGACTAAGATTAAGTTATCAAATACTGTATCGTCATCGCACTGATAGAAGGATTTGTTTGTATTTAATAAATCAATTTATTAAAATCTGTTTCAGATATTTTTTTGGGTGGAAAAAATATTTTTTTACTATTAACAATATTCGTTAGTATTAACTAAATCAATTTTTTATGAGAACAAAATTTTTGTAACTATTAAGAAGCTTTTGTGTATTGAAAAAAGTATTTATTTCCACCAAATAAGATTTGTTAATAGTTAACAAATATTTTGTTGGTGGTGTAATAAATGTATGTTTTTGTTGGTAAATAGTAATAAATATTTGGTTAGCACAAAAAAATAGCTGCTAATAAATGATTTATTAACTGTTAATAAATATTTGTTAAGGACCTATCCTCTAATAAATCATTTATTAAATATTAACAAATCTTTTTAAATACGAAAAAATCCTTCTATCAGTGCGCTCTTTAATACGTGTGCAAATTTTCTAATTCATCGGGTTCTTTAAAGTCGACAAGAATTACATCGAAAGATTCCGTTACATAGTTACAGGTCAAGCTAATAAAAGCGTGTTGATAGAGAAAAAAAAAATTATTTGAGTAAAAAAAAGTGTTTTGCTCCAAAATATTTGATTCTCAAAATTTAAGAAAATTGTTTTTGTATAAATAATTTAAAATATTTGGATGAAAATAAAATTCTTCATTCAAGAACTTTAGTCTTTTCTGAAGAACTTTGTTTTTAAATA